TCGGAACTGTTGATGGAAGCGATTTCATTTCTGTCCAATGGCAAAACAGATTTGGCTCGAGCAGAGGCGGACCCATTGTTCAAACTCCTGAAGTTCAATGGAGATACTGACCAGATGGATAGAGAATGGGTTTCGTGGACCACCGATATGTTGTCCGTGCTGGAACTTCACGAAGTAGTGAAGTCGTATGAGGTTTCGCTCGAGGAGGTGGAAGAATGGGTCAATGACCTGAGGATATGGTTCGAGCGAGCCAACGTGGAAGAAGAAAAAGATCCCAAAAGGGGCAAGAAGAGGTCCCTAGAAAGGGAGTCCAGCAAGGATATTCCTGCCGAAAAGGAGGTGGTTGAGACTTCTGAGACGGAGGTTGCCGTTGAGGAGGAGGCAAAAAAGGTTAAAAAGAAGAGGAAAACTGCAGTTATCGAAGATCCTTACACTCTCCTGGTTCCAAAGCCGAAGAAGATGCCGGCGACCATTGAGAAGGGTGGATCATCATCCAATGCGGCGGTTTCTGCAGGGGAAAAAGCCTCGAAAATGCGCACAAAGTCAAACGTCGGTGGAAAGGCGAAGAAGAAGGAGAAAAGTCAGAGTCCCAAAAAGGGAGAAGTGGTGGTGGTGAAAGGTCCTGAGGAAAAGGATCGTCCTTCTGATGTGGATGCGCAAGCGTCTACAGCTGTGAGTGCAGAGCTGGGTCAATCTTGCCAAGCGATTGAGGACGCAAAGAGAGAAGGATTGGTATCCTCAATTCAAAGGTGCGTGCAGGATCCTGTTCTTGCAGTTTCGGACCTGGAGTATATTCTGCTACAACTTCACCTCAGTATTGCAAACCATCGGAAGAAGAAGTGACTGGATGGTATGGATGAAGGGATGGTTTTTCTCTTTCTGGAGACAGGTGCGCTGGATCGGCCAATGTGCTGAAAATGTGGTGGTTACTATTAAGGGTATGGAAATCCCTGATAGTAGAAGTTAGTAGCTTTTCACGTAGCGAAGACCACGGTTTGTGGTGAAGAAGGCCGAAGAGTCTTCAATGATAAGAGGATCAAAGTGGAAAAAAGATTCTCTATGGTTAGTGGATTCAGCCAATGTGCTATAATTTCGTCCTGGTAGACGTAAAACCATATTGTGCATTTCAAGCAGCTGGCTGCTGCCCTAATGGCAGTTTTTGGCCAAAGATCTGCACCTCCAATGTGTCCTAGGAAATCCTAGGACAGGGGGAGTGCGGAGCTGCAACTGGTATTGTAGAAAAGAGTTAGTGTTGAGAGTTGGAAGGGTTAATGAACCCGGAAAACATGTTTGGCTCAAGATGGGCTTGAACAGAAAGCCACAAGTTCAAAAAGTAGTGCCTGGGTTCTTAGGGTTTGGTAAGGGTGTGGATTCCTTCCCCCTTTCCTTCCCCCCTGGGTTGCTCTTATCCGTGTTCTTGTTTGTTTCTTGGTTCGATCTGGGGAATATAGGTTCAGGGCGATTAGGGGAGTTGATTTCCTTCCTTGGTTGTCCCCCCGTACCCTAAACCCCCCCACCGGCGCCTGCAAGCTGCCGCGCCTTGTGCGGCGCGTTCCAAGGTTCGACGCCATCTTCCGCAAGCGAGCGCTCTCCGTACGTCGGGGGGCTTGTTATGGAGCTTCGCTGTCTGGGAGCAGTACGCCCCCCTCCCCCTCCCCAAAACTGTCTCAACAGCTGTTCTATGGGTTCCTCCGGCAAGGGTTTAAAGGTGTAGGGTCTAGAGTTTATGGTTTCCAGGGTTTTTTAGGGTTTTTCAGGGGTTTAGGGTGTAGGGCAGCATGCTGAAGTCAGTTCAGGTTCCGGGTCAGGCTTAGGATGTGCGAAGCTGGGGTTTGGCATGAAGGGCCTTCGATGAGGCCGTTGTTTGGGTTTGGGGTTGAGGGTTTAGGGTTTAGGGTTTAAGGTTTAGGGTTTAGGGTTTAGGGTTTAGGGTTTGCTGGGGCCCAGCAGGATGCTTCAGCCACGTCGTGTCGCACAACGGCTGGGCTAGTAAGAGCAAGAAGCAAGCATGCGGCCCCCCGGAGGTGCAACAACATGGTGCTTTGTCCCTTCAGGTACCTTAAGACTGGCTGGTTCTTAGTAGGGAATGAGGGAATGAGGCACCCTACATAGTCCTTTGAAGGGTATAATGTATATATATATATATATATATAGGGCCCTAGCTCCCTCATTCCCTACGAAGAACCCGGGGGAAGATCCTGAACTCCACATCCTTGCGAACTTTGGCCTTGCCGTTGCCTTCCCTTCCGAGGCCGCGACAGACGCGCGTGGGCATCACAGGCGGGGGGGGGGGGGCCTACATCAGCTGGGCAGGGTCGGGATTCTTAACGCGCCTTGCGGGCGAGATGAACCCCCTACAAGGGGTTGATGATCCAAATTTCAGGGCCCAATGGGCCCCGAAGGCTTTCTTCCTCGGGGCTTCAGCCCCTTGCGGGCTGTCACATCGCATGGGGCCCCAACGCTCTTTCCAGGGCACCGAAGCCCTGAAGCCCTTTTCAATCCGACTCAGCCCACATGGCACCCCCCCGCCCAAACTCTCAACCCTCAACCCTTAAACCGAAACCCGAAACCCTAAACCCTAAGCCCTAAACCCAAAACCCTCAACCCCAAACCCAAAACCCATGTTTGGTGCCGGCCTGTATGGCCAGGTGCTGCTTCCAGCAGTTTTCGCCGTGGGCCTACTGTGATTCCTGGAAGTCTGTGCATGTACCTATCTGTATTACATGCCTATGTGTACATACCTATGTCATTATGTACATGTGCAAATATATACATATATAGATATATGTGTGTATATATATAGCGATATATATATATATCTATCTATCTATTGTGTACAACATACTTTTTTCAAACATACAATCTAATCAAGGGGTTTGTGTTGAGTGCTGCTTCATGGAGAGCTAGAAGAGCCTCACGCCTCCCTCCCCCCCATCCTGCCGCCCCCCCCCCCCCCCCCCCCCCCCCCCCCCCCCCCCCCCCCCCCCCCCCCCCCCCCCCCGGATGACTGAAGGTCACCAAGGAAATCAGCACCTGATACCCTTTCGTGCTGACCCCCCCCCCCCAGAGAAGTATTGCTTTTGCTTCAGGGTGCTAGATTAGGTGCATTCTTGGACCTGGAATTTATTCGGCCTGCGCGGTGAATTGACATTGAAGCCTGCCGAGTCGCGTGGTGGTCATTTCCTGTCTGTTATCCAGAGACTACATTGCAGGCTGAAGGCTGTAGATGTCCATGGTGGCATCGCCATCGTCAGCACTCCTCATTCCTCATCCAGGTCCTCATTCTGTCGTCGTCGTCCTCCTCCTCCTCCTCCTCCTCATTGTCAAACCCTAAACCCTACACCCTGTAAACCATCTAAACTCTCCAAACCCTCTAAACCCTGGAAACCCTATAAACCCTCTGAACCCTCTAAACCCTCCAAACCCTCTAAACCCTGGAAACCCTCTAAACCCTCTAACCCCTCGAAACCCTACCCTCCGGAAGGTCTTTGTCGCGTTGCTGACCGCGAGGCCCTGGATCGATCCAGACCGTACTTGTGGGGTTTTTGGCATCAGAGGGGTTTCGGCTTTTAAGGTTTGGGGTTTGTACAAGTTTAGCATGAAGAGCATACTTAGGCTTGCATGATGTGCTGCGACTTAGCTGAAGGTTTCGGAGTCGAGGGGCTTGGATGCCTCCGATGTTCCTCAAAAGCACCCTCAAAGCATACTCAGACTCCCCAGCGGGCTGCATGGTGCGACGAGTTGCGCGCTTCCTCGTGCTGGCACGGTGGCTCCAGTCGATGTGATGAAGCAGCTTCAGGCCCGAAGCGCACCCCTGGAGCTAGAGATACGTCGGGCAGCCGAGGACCGTTTTGGAGCCAGCCCACCTCAGTAGATGTCTTTGCCCGCAACATAAGAGTGTCGGCCTCAAGCGCGCATCGGGTGTTAAAGCTGGAGTCGCCTTCCCAAGAGCCGAAGTCGACCCACAGCTGAAGGCCTGTTGAGGGTTCATGTAGGACTTGGGGTCAAGCTTCGCTTGGGGTTTTCCTGAGCACATGACACTACAACACGATCGACACTGAGAGCCGCGCACCCTGAGCCAGCCTCTGGGAATCCATGTGGCGTCATGCGGCATGGCTTCCTTTGGGCGGCAATCCTTGCATCACAGTCAGATGCGGAGGACGTCGCCGCCAGCCACAACAGACAATGTTCAGAGCGTTGGAAGAGCGCAGACTACCCCTCAACCCTAAACCCTAAGCCCTAAACCCTAAACCCCTCAACCCTCCGTATCCCTGGCAAGCCAACTCGCGTAATTCGGATGTGGGAGTGCGCTTGGCCACTTGCGATTTTTCCGGCATTCAAAGCCCCAAGCCGTAGACTGCTTTCGATAACACGATACCCGTAGTCACCCCAACCCCAACCCCCAAAGCTCTGTGTAAAACCTAAACTCTAAACCCTAAACCCTAAACCCTCAACCCTCAACCCTCAACCCTCAACCCTAAACCCTCAACCCTCAACCCTCAACCCTAAACCCTAAACCCTAAACCCTATACCCTATACCCCAAAAACCCTAAACCCTAAACCCTGAACCCAAGGATTGGGAGGTGACTGCCTGCCCCCCAATGCCGGCCAGCCCGGCTGTGAGCGTGGAGACCTTGCGTTGCATCTACAGTGCTTTGCCTAAACCCTAAACCCTAAACCCTAAACCGGGGTTTCGGGTTGAGGGTTCTTTAGGGTTTGTAGGGTAGGGGCCCGGCGAAAATAGGGGTACCCTTTTTGGGGGGTCCCTTTAAGGGGGATTCTTAGAAGAGGGGCCCACATAGCGGTTGTTGATTCAGCTCAGTTTGGTTCAGGTGACCCCTGGGTTTCATTCATTAGAGGCAGCCTCTGCCTGGCAAGCTTCCCAATCGCCAAAAACAAACTACGAGCTACGACGACTCCACTCAGCTCTGAGCAAGCAGGGTTTGGGATAGCCATCGCTTGACCTGAAGATTTCTCAGGAGAATTCCCGTCACCGAGGTATGCAGCGGCTGCCCATGAATTTCTACATCCGCCAGCCCCTAGGCCAAACAAGCCGACCTAACCGGTGGCATCCTTGACTTCCCCGATTCTTTGGAGGGATTGGGATGTGTCCGTCTACTTGAACAAAGGGTGCACAAAGGTGCGTGTGCTGTGCCAGTACTTGGAGTGTTCCAGCTCGTAACCCTAATTCCTGCAACATAAGCCCATTCACAACTTTTTAAAACCCCATAGACCCCCTGTGCCCTGAACTTCACCCTATAAAGCCTCATTTAAAACCCTTTAAACACAACCCTCAAAACCCTCAAACCCGAAGACAACCCCGGCAAATGCACCCTAAACGCCCTTAAAATAGAACCCCCCCCCCGTCCTATAACACTAACGTCATGCAGAGTTGGGGCCAAAAACTTGCAGCCCCCCAGCAAAGGTGGTACGAGCCCATGGAGGACCTGGCCTGGCGCGCCATGCGCTGCGCGCCAGGCCCGGGGACCCGTAGGGCGCTGGAGGTCCTGGCGCCTTGGCTCCTTTACGTTTTTTTTTTTTTTTCTGGCTCTGGGTTCCCTTAGAAAGTAACCAACCAAAAAAAGGGTGCCCTTGTTTTAATTCTTATGAGCTTGTGTGGCGCCTTGGCACCCGGTTGGGGTCTTGCATATCGGGGTGTATGTTGAGGGCTGAAAATTACTAGGCGGGTTCTTGTATGGTGTTCTAGGGCTTTGTAGACGGCTTTGTTATAGGGGTTCTTATAAGCTTTGATGGGTTTTTGCAAGGTTTCTGATATGGGGTGCATAGTGGGCTGGAGCTTGCCGGGCTTGGGCTCTCCTCCCATGCCGCAGCACCCCAGGCCTGAAGTTTTCACTTTTGCGGTGTCGGGTTTAGGGTTTAGGGTTGGGGTTTGGGGTTTAGGGTTTGGGGTTTAGGGTAAACCCCTGAGCACGCAGCAATCCCGTGGCCATTCCCAGTGTGTCGCAGTTTTTTGTTGTGCCACCTGGCTGAGGGTTTGGGGTTTAGGGGTTTAGGGATCAGGGTTTAGGGTTTTGGTTGCCCTGTCGAAAGTGTGTTTCAACCACGGTTCCTGGAAAGCAACGGTGCCCAAAGCCACGTTCAACCTTGGGGCAGTTCCTGCAAACTTCCATACCTCCCCCCCCCCCCCCCGGAACGCCGAAAAACTACGAGGCCTGTCTACCACCCTCATGAGGTCCGAATTGCAAGTTCGGTGAAGTTCAGGACTCCTAGGGGCAATGCAAGGCTTGTTCATGGGGCTCGGGGCTGAAGTGTCAAAAAAGGGACCTCCCAAACACGTTGTCCCGTCCCAACATGTCTTTCGAAACACAACGGAAAGGAGGCGCTCGATCGAGCGCTCTGCTTCGCGAAGATGGAGCCCTGCTTCTTGACTGGGCTAGCGGCTAGATACGTGCCTCAATCTGTTTCAGTCTCTTCAATCTCTTACGCAGGCCCCTCCCCCTCCCCACCCCCCCCCCGCCCAACCTTCCTTTGCAGATCTTCACAGCACGATGCCAGGGCGCAGGCCTCCAGGCGAAATCAGCACATCCCCCGCACTCGCCGAAAGCCGAGGGGGGGGGGGGCTCGAATGAAGCCCCTTAGCCATCCTGAGAGCCTCCCGCCCTCCCCGCCATGTTGCGCGTCTGCCGGCTCTCGGGCCAAGAAGTGATTGCCATCCCTGAAGAGGACCCGGGGACCATCTTGGGTTGCCCCCCTGTTGCACCCCACGCAGAGAGCCTGAACCGCGGAGGCTGGCCTCCCTCAACCCCCTGAAGCCAGGCCCTAAGCAACCCTAAACCCTAAACCCTAAACCCTAAACCCTAAACCCTAAACCCTAAACCCTAAACCCTAAACCCCAAACCCTAAACCCTAAACCCTAAACCCCAAACCCCAAACCCTACAAGCCCTAGGTCTCCGCTCTCTGCTCCTCAAGAGGACTTGACGGACGTCCGCGCGCTGAAGCGGCAGCTGTGCCGCCTCTGCGGCGCCACGCGCTTCAGGCAGAGGCTGCTCTGCAAGGGAAGCTCCCTGGAGGATGACGCAAGGCCGGAATCGGGCTCTTAGGGCTCTTAGGGCTCTTATGCCTTAGGTCAACCCTACAAGAATATGGGCCCCTATACTCCCCAGAATGAACCCTACAGCAAGGACCGTTTTAAGGGGTTAATAGGGTATGATAGCCAACCTTATAAGAAGTTTTGTTTAAGCGGGTTAATGGGGTACAATCATCCCAATTTAAGGGGGCTGTTGGAGCCCATTGCCGAGAGGCTGGAATCGGGCATGGATGTGCTGATGGTGGTCCTCCCCTTGGCAGAGGTTCTCATGGGTTGTAATCGAAAACCCGCGAATGAGACTTGTAACTGTACTTCTCAGCCCCCCACTATGCTAAGTCCCTTAGTAGGTTAGAAGTAGACTTGTAACTGGTGTTATATACACATCTATATATCTTTATATATATGTTATATTTATAAGCCCCATATATATATATATATATGAACCCTCATATATATATATATATACATGTATGTATGTATGTATATATATATATATACGTATATACGTATGTGTGTATATATATATATATATATATATTTATTTATGGGGTTCTACTTGTACCCATGATCCTCCCCCTCGTCGGAGGTTACGCAGGAGGACATCGACGGGCTGCGCGAGGCGGCGAGCCGCGGGGATGCCTCGCAGGTGGAGAGGATGCTGCGGCTTGGGGGCGGCCCTCATTTTGCCTCACTTTTTGTGTTTTTTCATTTTTTTTTGGGGGGGGGGGGGGGGGTTTAGGTTTAGGCTTCAGGGTTTAGGGTTGAGGGTTTAGGGTTTAGGGTTTAGGGTTTAGGGTTTAGGGTTCAGGGTTCAGGGTTTAGGGTTTAGGGTTTAGGGTTTAGGGTTTAGGGGTTCAAGATCCCCTTCACTAAAACGCCAGAAAGAGGGGTCTCCCTTCTTTCTTTGAAGATGGTTGCCGGGCTAGACCAAGGAAGCAGCCCCAGAATCCGGACTTGATCTTGCCGGACCCGGATTTCAACCTCAGGGACTCCACGGCGTTGCTCGCCGCGGCTGAGGGCGGACACGCGGAGGTCGTGCGACTGCTGCTGGAGGCAGACGCCGACACGGACAGGAGATACCGCCCCTTGGACGGTGAAAGTAGGGACGCCCCGAAACCCTAAATGCGACCAGCCTTCATGGCTAGTTGGGTTCAGGTTTTTGTAAGGGGTTCGGGTTTAGGGGGTTCAGGGGGTTTAGGGGTTTAGGGGTTTTCAAGCCCAAACCCTAAGGCTCAGCCACTCCGCTCGGGGTGGCAGCAGCACGGGGCCATCCGGACATCGTCCAGTTACTGCTGCAGATGGGCGCCGACCCGGACGTTGGATCGCAGCAAACGTAGAAGCCAAGCCCTAAACCCTGAACCTAAACCCTCAACCCAAAACCCTAAACCCTGAAGCCTGAACCCTAAACCCTAAACCCTGAACCCTAAACCCTAAACCCTGAACCCTAAACCCTAAAACCCTAAAACTAAACCCTATAGCCCCCAAACCTCAACTCTGCTTACATAATTGAGACAAGCTGAGGTCGTGAGTCGTAAGTTTGGGTTTTTGCCGGATTCAGCCGCAGACGTGGTCGTTCTGCACGATGAGAGTAATCCAAGGACAAGCACATGGATGGCTTTGAGTTGGCGACGCCGCTCGGCATGGCATCGGCGAGGGGTCACACGCAGATCGTGCGCCTGCTGCTGGAGGCAGTATAGGGCTTATTGGGGTTCATAAAGGTTGTTTTAAAAGGGTGTTCGGGGTTTACAAGGTTTTGTAGGGTTTGCAGGGTTTACAGGGTTTGGAGGGTTTGTGGGGCGTATAGGCTTTGCAGGGTTTACGGGGTTGACAGGGTTTGTAGGGTTTGCAGTTTTTGGGGTTGAAGGGTTGGGGGCCGTGGGGCGTAGAAGGAAGCTCGAGCGCAGGCCGGCGCCGACCCGGACAGATACACCTACCTGGGAACCTTGTCTTGCCGAAGGTCAAAGACTTTCAGGGTTGTATTTGGGTTCATAGGATTTGTTTTCTTTAGGGTCTTTAGAGCCCTAAGCCCTAAAGCCTAAGTGAGGCCTCTTTGGTTGGAAATTCTACAATGCCCCAACAGCACTAGAAGGGCCATCAGAGCTCATGTGACAAGGCTTTTGTGTGTGTGTGTGTGTGTGTGTGTGTGTGTGTGTGTGTGTGTGTGTGTGTGTGTGTCTGTGTGGGTGGGGGAAGTTCTTGCCGAAGAAGCCTCGTTTTTTGGCAGTCTAAATAGGCGGAGAAGGGAAGAGAAGAAGGGCCACAAACAATGGGACGCTCCTGAGGCACTGGTGGGTGGTCAGGAGAGGGCAAGGGACCCCAAAAAGTTCAGGAAACAATAGGCTCCAAAGAGCCTCGGTGCGGTTGAAGCTTGTGATGGTACCGGTGCCGGGCAGCACAACGAGGGGTAACCACAACTGGGGGCGGGTTCGGTGTCTCAAGGCCCGGCGGCGGGCAGCTCAAGGACAGGCAACCCCTACTGGGAAAGAGGACTATAGGCTCTACAGAGCCACATGGGCTAGGGTAGGTGTGAAGGCAGGGGTGTCTACGATATGAGGGTACCTGTTTTGGGGCCCTGAGTATGAGGGGATCCGACTACTTTGGGGGATCTACATAAAGGGTCCCTTATGCTCGTAAACCCCCCCCTTTCATTCTCTCTAAGCACTTAATTTCTCAGCTCTCCCGACGTTGGATCCGTAGAAGCACAGGAACGCCCCTTGGTGAGGCGGCAGCCAACTGGAATGCAGAGGCTCGAGAATTTTTTCGAGGATCAGAGTTTAGGGTTTAGGGTTTAGGGTTTAGGGTTTAGGGTTTAGCTGGATGGCCTCATTTGTCTCTAGGTGTCAGGGCCCTCCGCGGGTTAAAGGGAGCCTTGTCGGCCATCGAGGGTGTTTGTTGTGATTGGGCTTTTGGGTGCTTAGGGCCTAGACCGTCTGTCTAAGCTGCCAGTTCAACTAGTACCTGTGGGTTTCGGGTTTGTGCGCAGGTGCTCTTATAGGTTCTTTATGGTACTTACCTGGGAAAGGTTTTGTTCAGGACATTCTGACGTTGTGTAGTTGGCACTCAGTCTGGCCTGAAAGCGATGGGCATGAGATACAACCCACACTGACTTACAGCCTCAGCACCAGCGCAATGCTCACAAACCTCAAGTTCCTTGTCCTCTCCCAAAGAACAAGCTAGGTCAGCTAGGTACTACCTGTACCCTCAATTTCAGCTCCATTTCTAGGGTTTAGGGTTTGGGGTTGAGGGTTTAGGGTTTAGGGTCTCCATAACACAACACGAGGCTTTTTTTGGGGACCTCAATGCGCACCTGGCTACTTAGGGCTTGTCAGCCCCAGAAGGCCTTCGTCCTAAACCCTAAACCCTAAACCCTCAACCACGAAACCCTATGTCGTGCTTTCTTTCCCACCTTTGGTTTCCACGAGGTGGTCCAGCTGCTCCTCGAAGCGGGTGCCGACAAGGACTCCAGGTAGGGGTTCCTAGAAGCCTTTGTGGGAGGGGTTAGGGTTTAGGGCTTAGGGTTTAGGGTTTAGGGTTTAGGATTTAAGGTTTGGGTTCAGGTTTAGGGTTGCCCGGATTATGGTAGGATTATTTGGCGACAGCTTGCTCATTCTGCATCCTGGAATGCGAAGATAAAGGATTTTCGCAAACCCTAAGGCCTAAACCCTAAACCCTAAATACTAAACCCCGAGGACAAATCCAGTCTCTTCAAAGGCCGGAGGCGATCCCCTCTCTTCATCGCATGCGCGGAGGGCCGTGAGGACATCGTCCGCCTGCTGCTGAGAGCCTTGGCCTTCGCCCAGGAAGCACGCGAATGGACGTCGAAAACCTGATAAAGCCCTACAACCCGAAAAGCGTAAACCCTAAGACCCTAAAGCCTTAAAACCCGAAAAGCCGTCAAAAAGCCCTACCTGCAACCCTCTACAATGGTTTGGCAGCCTTTTCGCCCTGAGAGCTGAGGAGCTAGTAGATTCAACCTGAAAACCCTAAGCCCCTAAACCCTAAACCCTAAGCCCCTAAGCCCCTAAACCCTAAACCCTAAACCCTAAACCCTAAACCCTAAACCCTAAACCCTAAACCCTAAACCCTAAACCCTAAACCCCAACTGAGAGCCGAGGAGCTGGCGCCGACCCCGGAGGGGAGCTCTGTGGAACGCCTCTCGGGGCAGCGGTCGAGGCCGGCTGCGAGGACGGCGGCGTTGGGTTTGGGGTTAGGGTTTAGGGTTTAGGGTTTAGGGTTTGGGGTTTAGGGTTTAGGGTTTGGGGTTTAGGGCTTAGGTTGTAGGGTTTGGGGTTTAGGGCTTAGGGTTTAGGGTATAGGGTTTAGGGTTTAGGTTTAGGTCACCTGCTGCAAATGGGAGTTTCCGAATGTTGGGGGGTACCTTGTATTGGGGTCCTTATCATAAGGGGATCCTAGTATTTGTGAGGTGCATGTTTTTTGGGGGGACCCTATGACGATAAAGGGGCTTTTGCGAGATATTTTTTGGGGGAGAATACGGGGTTCCCCCACCCTAAACCCTAACCCTAAACCCTAAACCCCAAACCCTAAACCCTAAACCTTAAACCCTAAACCCTAAACCCTCGTCAGTCAGGAGATCGTGGCCTTGCTGCTCGCAGCTGGAGCAGATGCGGACAAGCACACGCCGTTCTCCACGCCACTGGGAGTTGCAGCATCCGCCGGCCGAATCTCGGATGTCTAGGGTTTAGCGTTTAGGGTTTAGGGTTTAGGGTTGAGGGTTTAGGGAACGTACCCTGAACCCTAGAATCTAAACCCTAAAACCCTACAATTGTGGTTCGGGGAGAATGGCGGCGTTGTCCTTCTGATGCTTCATTGCAGCACACCTGGAGTACTATACTATACTATACTACACTATAATTACATTATACTAGACTAGATTATACTATACTCTACTATACTCTGCTATACTCTACTATACTCTACTATACTATACTCTACTATACTCTACTATACTCTACTATACTCTACTCTACTACATATACTATACTATACCATCCTGTACTATACTATAATCTACCATACTACACTCAAGCGCAGATAGCCTGAACAAGTCCAAGTACCCACCAAAGGGATGACAGGGGGTCCCCCCACCCTAAACCCTAAACCCTAAACCCTAAACCCTAAACCCTAAACCCTAAACCCTAAGCCCTAAACCCTAAACCCTAAACCCTAAACCCTAAACCCTAAACCCTAAACCCTAAAGCAGCCGAGATCTCGGCATCGCGCGCCTGCTCGTAGAAGCCAGCGCCGACTTGGAGAAGGAGACGGAGTACTACGACAAAGGGTGGCCGCCCATCTTTGTAGCATCCTTTGAAGGCCCGGGTTTAGGGTTTAGGGTTTAGGGTTTAGGGTAAGTTTAGGGTTTAGGTTGGGCACACCTCCCAGTACCCCCACCACCCGAGACCTCGAGAAAAGCCCTGGGCTAAACCCTAAACCCTAAGCCTTAAGCCCTAAGCCCTAAACCCGAAACCCTAAACAATAAACTTCAAACTTCAAAGTTGAGAAGCTCGGCTGAAGTCCCCCAACTCTGAAATTGCCAACCCCCCCAACGGCGCTCGGACGGCTGCAGGCCACCTGGAGACTGTGCGCTTGCTGCTCAAAGCTGGCGCCCATACAGATCAGGCTCCCCCCCTTGCGGGGTTCAAAGAGAGACGGGGGAGGAGCCTTAAACCCTAAACCCTAAACCCCAAACCCTAAGGTTCAAGCCAACGATGCGATTCGAGGTTCTCCAGAGATTATTGTTCAAGTACTTGCGAGAGACCGATTCTTCGGGGTTCACCCCGCTTGAGATGGTGCAAGGATCAAGCGCTCTGAAGCAGCATCTCTTCCTCAACCCCCCCCCATCCCCTGAACGCCCAAACGCCCAAACGCCCAAACGCCCAAACGCCCAAACGCCCAAACGCCAAAGGCCCAAACGCCCAAACCCTAAACCCTGCACCCAACACCCAACACCCTAAACCCTAAACCCTAAACCCTTAATTCTAAACCCTAAACCCTAAACCCTAAGACTCAGCACCCGGAAGTAAGATCCATCTGGGCCCCCCAGCGCAAGCTGAGACCGGAAACTGTCCCAACTCTTACCCAGGTCTACGAGCGTGATGGCCTTCTTTGGTCTCTGTCTCTTGGCGTTGGTAAGCCTGTTACAAATGAGCCAGAAACTACTAAAGTCACGGACCATGGGGGGAGAGCAAGAGAGGGAGAGAGAGAGAGAGAGCGAGCGAGAGAGAGAGAGAGAGAGAGTGGGAGACTCCTCCTCAGAGGTCTTGGGTGGCCTACATCGAGGGCTTTCACGAGATTGCCCAGCTGCTGTCTGCAGCCGACTCCAGCTGAAGTCTGCGCCCCTTATTAAGTTGCAAGTTGCGACTCTTGGGGAGAGGAGCCCAACTTCCCAGTTGCAGCTGGCAAAGTGGGGGCCGCTTTGATGTACAGCTTGTACAGTGGCCGCTTATTTGTAGCACCCTGTGCCTCTGCAGTATCCACAGCAGAGCCGGTGCCCGGCCGGTTCCTGTCGGACCAACTGGACCTCCGCTGAGACATCGGTGGGGGGTTGCAGCAGTCGTTAAAAAGGTTACACTATGCTGTGCGGGGTTTCATGTGGTTTCCTCCCCAGGTCTTGTGTGCTCCTTACCCTTGGAGGCTTCCTCGTAGCTGCAATCCTTCATCTCACCCTCACAGTCTGTACACGTCATGTCTGAACCCTTCCACGCAAGCACATGACAGCGAAAGGAGCCCTACTGCCCAGTGGCTCAACCAACGGTTCTCGTTTGAGGGCTGTGGATCAGGCAAACCTCAACCCTAGATTCGGGGTACTTCTGGGCACGAGGGCTCAACCCTAAACCCTAAACCCTAAACCCTAAACCCTAACCCTAAACCCTAAACCCTAAACCCTAAACCCTAAACCCTAAACCCTAAACCCTAAACCCTAAACCCTAAGAAGGACAGGGTGGGCCCGCTACGCCCAGCGGGGGGATGTTGTTTCCGGGTCGTCCGGGTGTCTGGGTTTCGGGGCCATCAGAAATCGTTCTTCTTCTGTTTAAAGGCTCTGATCCTGAAACCCTTGGTATGAAGCCATAAAAAAGAGTAGGCTTCTGGGTTCTACCCCAAAGTAAGCCTAAGAATTCCTCCGCCGCCCGCGCCCCTCCGGCTCCCAGCCGAGGCTTCGAGGACGGCGCGCGCCCGGGCCTCGGCCCACAGGACGTCCCCAAGTCACCAGACTTGGTAGCCCAGTGGTACCCTTATTTTTTGTTTTTGGTTTTGGGTTCCCCATAAAAAGGGTTTAGGTTTAGGGTTTAGGGCTTAGGGTTTAGGGTTTAGGGTTTAGGGCTTAGGGTTTAGGGTGCCCTTATCATAATACGGTTACTGGGCTACCAAGAGGAGCTCCGGTGCGAGCTCTCTGCGCTACGCAAGCATTTGTGGTCTCGGGGCTTCAGGGTGTAGGGTTATAGGGTTTAGGGTTTAGGGTTTAGGGTTTAGAGTTTAGGGTTTCTAGGCTTCGAAGTCACCTCAGGCTGGGCCTCCCTTAGCTCAAGAAGTTGTGAGGCCGCTTGCGCGCTGCAGAGCACGTCTGCGCGAAGATGGACGCAACGGGCGTGCTGGCTTGCGACAGCATGCAGGAGAAGGGCATCTCAATGCAGCCTTGATGTTTGCCTTGTGAGGGTGCTGCAAGTCTATGGAGACTGCACTTAGTGCTAAATGGAGAGCCTAAGTCAAAGGATACAAAGAGTGAGATAGACAGGATTTCATGCTCGGGCATTGCAGAGACTCCAGGACGTTGTCGATGTTCCATCGAAGCACTTCTCGGTCACAGCCCCCGCATCCCATGAACTGTCCTGAATTCAAGCCACCACTCCTCTTTTTAATGAGTTCTCGCAAGCAGTATGCGAACCTTGGTGTGGGTCCCATACCGGAGTTTGTGTGACTCTCTTGGGAGACGGGCTACTGGTAGGGTTTGCTAGATGTTGCCGTTGTCTTACAAGCTGGGTCTTCGTAGTTAGGTGAGTTGATCCAAGTGCCCAAACAACCTCGCAACTGAGTCACCTAAAGGGTTAGGAAGGTGCAGGCAACAGGTCAGATGTGCCTAGAATCAGCTCGCCCAATGGGATCACCATTCAGATCAAGCCTACACTTGACTCAGCAAACCCTAAACCCTAAACCCTAAACCCTAAACCCTAAACCCTAAACCCTAAACCCTAAACCCTAAACCCTAATCCCTAATCCCTAAACCCTAAACCCAGCCGATTTTCACACGTTTCGGATCCCGGACAGCACCAAGAAGATCAAGGTTTGCAGCTAACCCGACACAGTTCAGGCTTCACATGGATTAGTGTTTAGGGTTTAGGGGTTTAGGGTTTAGGGTTTAGGGTTTAGGGTTTAGGGTTTAGGGTTTAGGGTTTAGGGTTTAGGGTTTAGGTCGTCAGCCGCAGGTCGCTGCCTCTGTTGTGGGTTTAGATCTTCCCAGTCATGGAAGATAGGATCGATAAGAAAACTCAACATCCCAAGTCTTTCTTTGGTTTCGGTGCTCAGACCTCAGCAAAAGGGCGCCCCGAAATCCGGGTGAGGCAAGTCCCTCAAGTTCTTGGGCTGTGAGGGGGTTCTCAACCCCGACTTGGGCCCCCCTTTTCCTGAGCGCGACGCACCGAATTCGAAGGAAAAACTCTTATGATCTGTAGTTCGCTTATCAATCCACTATTCTTCAATGCCTGGGAAGACTTTAGCCAGCCCTAAACCCCGTGAGCCGTGGCTTGTGGGGTTTATGGCTTCCAGGTGTCGGCGTGTAGGGCTTGTACCTCGCCTTTTTGGCCGCTGCTCATTCCCGAAGAGCGCGTGGCTTAAACGCAATCCCCCCAAAAGCCGTGATCCGAATCATGCGGCTGATCCAGGAAGTCCACTGCATGTGCACTGAATCGCGGTCTGGATCTGAATCGGACGGGGGGCTGATCCGAGTACGGCGAGCCAGCTCACGGAACCCCATGATCCGAAATCACTTCGCTGAATCGTTGCCCTCCGAAAGGGAGAGAACACGGGGGGGGAGGGGGCGTTTCATCCTGAACCTTAAACCCATACCTTAAACCCCAAACCCATTCGTCCTGACTTTCTGGGGGACCCCTCAGGATGCCGCTCGGGTCTTGAGGGTTTGGGGTTTCAGGTTTAGGGTTTAGGCTTTAAGGTTTAGGATCTAAGCTTTAGGGGTTAGGGTTTGGGGTTGTCAGGACTTAAAACGAGTCCCGCGTGATGTCTTTGCCGAGTTGGAAGCAGCCTCAGCGTGCCGTTCGGAGGATTTGGGGTGTTGTTTGGGACCAGGCTTATATGGTCACTTCTCTGAAATCCCTCTTGGGGGGTCACTATTATAAGGCGGCCCTAGTATTTAGCGTTTAGCGTACCCAAAAAGGGACCCAATTTAGAGAACCATCCGATGGCCGAGGGGATGTGTTAGCGGGGTGGATCGGGTATCTGACTGTGCCAGGCAACAGATAAAGCAGAAGAAGGCGGTCTGGGTTTACCTGTAGGATCCTGAACCGTAAACCCTAAACCCTAAACCCTAAACCCTAAGTCCTCAAGAGAAATAAATAGAAATTGTATGTGGCATCATTCTGAGTTATTTGTCTAAACAGCTGACGAGCCGAGTAGAGGCTCCAACCTCAAAAATTGGAATGAAGTGTATATAAGTTCCAAAAAGGAAGCCCGGTCAAAACCCGGTCAAAACGTTTCGGTCAAAAACTGTTTGGGACCCAAAGCCTATACAATAAACCCTCAACCCTCAACCCTAAACCCTAAACCCTGTAGGGCGTTTCGGCACCAGGAACGTTCCATCGCTGGCTGTGCAGAGAAGGACGGCATCCGGAACCCTCTCAAACCCCCGCAACGGCCAGATTGCATTGGACTTAGGGCTTAGAGCTTAGGGCTTAGGGCTTAGGGTTTAGGGTTTAGGGTTTAGGGTTTAGGGTTTAGGGTTCAGGGTTTAGGGTTTAGGGTTTTAGGGTGTTAGGGTTTAAGGGTTTAGGGTTTTAGGGTTTAAGGGTTAACACCCCTAAGCAGATTGAGTGGGACTTAGGGCAGGCGCAGTTCCCTCACAGCGCCCCATGTGGGGGTTTACGAGAATACGGGACCCTCATCTAGACACCCACATAGTAGGATTCCCTCATAAGAAAGGGACCCCCCATAAGGTACCCCTCATTTCGGAAGCCCCCATGTGAAGTTTGGGCACGCTGGGATCACACTGTGTGAGGTGCAACTTGGGATGAGACTCTGACCCGAATCATCGAGCCGACAGGACCAACCACTTTGGACGCTCCTGCGGCAGAAGCGAGGACCGCGGCTTCAGATGATTTCGGTCTGGCTGTAATGTTTGGGCCTCTTCTTGCTTCGATTTAGTGAGTTCAACGAGGGCCTGTTGCAGGATCAGTGAGGCTAAAGCAGTTGAAGGATGACGAGCATAAGCAAGAGAGAAGCACGCCGCTGAGTTCTCTGAGCTCAGCCAGAAATACCCTACACCCGAAACCCCAAACACTAAACCTAGAAAGCACCTAAACAAATTCCCTGAAAGCTAAGAGACCCTAAAGCCCCAAATTGCCCTGAAGCCGAAACGCCTTTGAACCGTACTTATTACACAGCCCAGTTTGAGTCCTCCTCCCGTGTGAAAGAATCCAATTTAGGGTTAGGGTAACCTCAGGGAATCCGAAAACTCCTGCTCCACTGTGTAGGTTTGCGAAGCATCCTGGACGGAGCTTGATGGTAACAACCACAATGAACCTTAAACAACCCTGAACCCCAAGCACTAAACCCTAAACCCTAAGACTAAACCATCAACCCTGAGCCCTAAACCCCAAACCCTAAACCCCTAAACCCCTAAACCCCAAACCCCAAACCCTAAACCCTAAACCTTAAACCCTAAACCCTGAGGCGTCCTCTGGAGCCTGGGAGCGGCGCTGAACCAAAAGCCTTGTGACGAGGACGCCTGGAAGCTGATGCTTTTGGGCGTCTGGAAGTTCCAAGGTGCTGAGTTTCAAGGGCTTTTTCGGGGAATGTTGCAGGGCTTCGGGGAACATTGTAGGGTTTGGGGAATATTCTAGGGTTCAGGGTGTTGAGCGTTAGGGTGGTGGGTTGGGAGGGTTTCGGGCCTTGGGAGTTGAGAGTCACCTAATTTGCCATGCCCGCACCTTGGCTTATGGCTGTAAGAAAGGAGGTTCCCCTTAGCCACGCTGCAGCCAAAGGGAGTTGGATGCCTTCTGCTGCCTGAATCGCCAGCAAAAGTCCCATACGAAAGTTTTGTCATCGCCCCTGGCCATGCCCATTTGCTGTCAAGCCGGTCACCCACACTGCAACCCAACTTGTCCTCCATTATTGCTCAGCCAACCCCGCATTCTCGAAGATAAACCCTAAACCCTAAACCCTAAACCCTAAACCCTAAACCCTAAACCCTAAACCCTAAACCCTGATTACCCCGAAACTCCGAGGAAGGGGGAGATCAGGATCTCGCGACCCACCTCCTCTGCCTTGGCTTCGCCGGCATCCTTTTGGAAGGCAAGCGAAGTTTCAAGCCAGGGGCTGCCACAGGGCTTAGGGTTTAGGGTTTAGGGTTTAGTGTTTGGGGTTTAGGGTTAGGGCCTAGGGTCCAAGCGACAAACTCAAGCACAAAGACTGCTGCGTGAGCTTTAAGCTTGTGTGAACCTGGTGCCCGATTGTTGCATCGGGGCATAGGGCTTGTTGCGGATCAGAAGCGCGTGGCTCAAGCTGAGAGCTTGAACTCCGTCGAGCAGCAGCAGTAGCAACAACAGTGCGCTTGAAGACGCAACTGATTCCAAGACGACAGCACGCGCATGTCGGCCCAGCAAAAAAAGCGCGACAGCCTTCCACCCAGTAGAAGAACCAAATCGCAATCACTGTAAAATACCCTGAAAGCCCAGTCTCTGTGGCTGAGGGCATCCGGAGCGGCTGGCTCGGCTGAAGGACTTCTTCGGCCATCGCGAAGACCTGGTGGCTTGAACGCCCAAGGTGAGGCTTGAGGCGATGTTCCCCCTTCCTACGAAGAGTCCCTACGAGGGATTCTAGTACCCCTTCTTATACTCCCCATGAAGGACTGTTAGTATAAGGGGGAACATCCCAACCCACAGCTGTCAAGTCAAGCTCCCTAAACCCTAAACCCTAAACCCTAAACCCTAAACCCTAAACCCTAAACCCTAAACCCTAAACCCTAAACCCTAAACCCTAAACCCTAAACCCTAAACCCTAAACCCTAAAGCTGATTTTCTGAAGTCTCCTTCACAAAAGGCCCCTGCTAGGGAAGCCCCCGAGTTGCTCTGGTACCTCCACTCCCGAAACCCTAAGCCCTACACCCTAAACCCTAAACCCTAAACCCTAAACCCTAAACCCTAAACCCTAAACCCTAAACCCTAAACCCTAAACCCTAAACCCTAAACCCTAAACCCTTAAACCCTAAACCTTAAACCCTACCCTCAACCCTACCCCCCCCCCCCCCCCCCCCCCCCCAAAGCAAAGAAAAAAAAAAACACGCCCCCGAAGCGAAGCCGCCGCTTTGAGGTGCTCCTGTCCCAGCCGGCGGAGCCCCGCTTTGTGGGCGCGATGCTCGAGGTGCCCATCTTGGGCCTTCCGGTAGAGAGCCTATAGGGGGAGCTAACTGGGGTTTAGGGTTTAGGGTTTAGGGAGGGTTTAGGGTTTAGGGTTTAGGGTTTAGGGTTTAGGGTTTAGGGTTTAGGGTTTAGTAGGGCTTGGAATGTTCCCCCTTATACTAACAGTCCTGAATAGGGAGTCTAGTACCCCGGTAGAATCCCTACTTGAGGACTGTGAGGATAAGGGGGAATATCCCAAGTTGCCCTTCAAAACACTGAGCCTAAGGCCCTTAGCAGGGTTTGAAAGGCAAAGTGTTCAAGGCTCTTTGGTGCGCATTCCAGGCATCTCTGAGGCCTTCTTGCCGACGAACCATGACACGAAAACGACACGACGCCAACAGGGCGACAGACCCAAATGTCAATTCCACGGCAGCCGAGAAGACTAGTTGCAAGTTCTGCTAGCCAAAGCATGCCAAGAACCGGCATCAGCTCAGTAGGTTTCAGAAGCGCCATGCCGACAGCCTCAAGAGCTCCTCAGACTTTGCTCCCTCAAACAAGGAATCCAGGCAACAGGGCCCCAACGAGTAGAAATCCTGAGATCCTCTCATATGCCGCCTTTGGCGCGAGGATGCCACCTGGAACAACCGGGTGCTCCGGGACAAGGAGGCCCCAAATCCAGTGCGTGCGGAACGAGCGCGTGCCCGGGCATTGGGGGCCGCTGGGGGCTGTGGAGCTTGGGGGGGGCTTGGACAGGCCTTGAGAACGGGCATAGGAGGGCTGTCACCCCCCCTTAGCCCCTTCAAATCAAGGTTCCGCTGGTTCACAGGCGTTCCCCACACCAACCTGGAGACTGATGTCGTTCTTGGGGGTGTTTTGGGAATACGGTTTGACCCTTGGTTTGAGAGGTCTTTCTCAGAACGTGCCCGGCCTTAACGGCGTAGGTCGACCTGCTGCAGATCACGCTGGGCGTCAGCGACTGCAGCTTTCTCAGCGCTCTTCTGGAAGGCCGGCGCCCCACAGACTCACCAGCCGCCCCAGCCTGCCACACTCGCACGCATCAGCCAGAGGCCCCCAAACCCTCAACCCCAGGCCCCAAACCCTAAACCCTGAACCCATCTGAACCCTAAACCCTAAGCCCTAAAAGCCCCTAAATCCTGATGTCCTCAAACACCTCCAAGCCTTACTTAGCCCAGGTGGAGTCCGGCCGCGGTTCCTCCGAATCATCTACTGGCAACTTGGCGCCTCCCCTTCATTGAGAAGCCCAGTTTTTCAGCGTTCTTGCGAGGGATCTCGGGTGTCAGGGCGTGCTCAGTGGCTGCGGATGCACTTGCGCTGTCTTCCTCTGGCCCTGAAGGCACGTGATCCCTCCTCCTCTTCTTTACCAGCCGGGCGGCGGGCTAAGTATGGCTAAGAGTTGAGAGCCGGATTGGGGCCTGGAGTTTTGGAGTTTGGAGGGCAGCCGGGGGGACGCGATTGGCAGAGTGCATTGAAAAGCGGCTTGTGCGCGTGCAGCAGCACTGCAAGGGTTTTGGTGAGGAGGTTTACACCCCCTCGAGGCTCTTATCGCCCGCTCGGCGACTGGTACGAGGACGGTGCCCTTGATACCTAAGCAGCTCAACCCCAATCAGTTGCTGAATTGCTTTGTTAACTTGAAATTCCGATCCAGAGTCGAGGCTCAGGATCCTGTGCAATAATGACTTCGGAATTTTCTGGATTCCACATGCTACGGTGCTGCCGCCATTCTTGTACTTGGCAGTTGTTCAAGTTCACGCGGTTGCTGCCACGAACGTGGTGCCTTTGCGCCTGGAACGTAGCCGGACCAGGCGGTAGGTGGTATAGCACTTCGGTATCGTCGACATCAAGGGCATTAGCGATGGCCTTGGTGCCTGCAGCGCGAGGATCGCGTCCCGTGAATATTAAATCGCCTTCCCATCACACTCTGCAGTGGCAACAGTCCCAAAACCAGAGACCCTACACCTCAAATCCTTAAGTCTTTCAACCGCTGCTGCCACCCGCACTGGCCACAAAGTCTTCTCCGCCACGCCCGCCCAAAAACCCTGAACTGAACCCTCAGCTGCACAATGCCCGCAAGCAGCTAATGCCCTAAACCCTAGAACCCTCAAGTAGCTAAGTGACAAGATCCCAGGACGTGATGCACCTTACAGGGGAAGCGTGCTCGCTGCAAACGGTCGCGGATGCTGCGGCGCACCTCTGGCGCAGTGCCCCCCAAATTTGAAGGGGCATGAAAACCCTAAACCCGAAAACCCTAATCAGAGGTGGGTGGGTGCGGGGGGTCCCCCCGCGAAAGCCTTTCGTGTCCTGCGCCCACTCGGACGGCGCCTCAGGCATGGCGACTACGCCTTGTGGTTCTTGGATCCACGCCGCCCGGCAGCTTTGTCTTTTGGGTACATATAACTATAATGTATGTATATAATGCTTATTTATACCACAACAAAAGAGATGCTATCTATATAGTAGCAAAATATACATATCTACACATATGTATAATTATGTATATATATATAACTATATATATAGTTATATATATATATATATATAACTATATATATATATATATAGTTATATATATAGTTATATATATAACTATATGTATATATATATAGTTATATATATATATATATGTAACTATATATATATATATGTACATGTTCAGAGACCCGAGGGAGTTCCAAGGTTGGAGGGAGCGCCGCGGCTCCCGGAAGCGTCCCTTCGCTTGCCTTTTAATCTCGTCTTTTGTATGTACCCTAACTAACTATCTATATATATATAGTTATATATATATATATATATATATAGTTATATATATATATATATATATATATATATATATATATATAGTTATATATATATATATATAGTTATATATATATATATATATGTATATATATATATAGTTATATATATATATAGTTTTTTGTGTCTTTTTTGTTGTTTTTGCTTTTCCTGCGCTTCTCCTGCGTTTCCTGCTATTCAAGAGGCTGACTCCCACGTTGCAGCAGAGGGCAGCGGGCGGTGGTTTCGTAGATGGGCTTGACCTAGTTTCCGTGTCCTGAGAGGTGCGCGCTGCCCTCAAGGTGCGTGGCGTCACATGAATATTGGCCGAGGCAGCCGATTTTTTGTGGCTGTGCTCGCGGCTGTGGGTGGAGGGTTGGTGGGTTTGTGCGCGCCCTGGACTCTAGCCATCCAAACAGCCCACCTCAAGATACGGAGTCCCCCGGACAACCTGCAGATCTGCTACTGCTCTGAAACTGTTACGACAGGCCAGCTGCAGGAGAAACTACATTTTTGCAATTTCCGCCCGTGAGATGCGGACTTGGCGTTCGCGAGAAAGTACAGCTTCCCTGTAAAGGATGACTGCCAAGAACCTTCAGAAGGATTCCGTGTCAGAGCAGCTTGAAGCCTACAGCTCAGGTGACTGCGACAAGGCCGGTTGGGGAAACAAAGCGCCGAACGCGACATCGCGGGGGGGGGGGGGTTGTTGTTCCAGAAAGGTCCTTTCAACGGATGGACTTCTAGAGTCCCCTTGACACCGGATTCCTGGCTACCTTGTGGTTGTTTTGGGGGACCGAGATACTTTGAACCAACTACCACCACAACAGTCTCAATTTCCTAAAGCCGTTCCTTGTGGTTGATGGTTTGCACTCTTTTTTTTATTGAGAATGTGTGGAGGAATTTGGCTCCTGTTTAGGTGACCCGACTTAGCCACCCAACAGAATGTGATTCGCTTTCTTTTGTTGTGGGGGAATCTGGCTTCCCTGAACCCTTTTTCTCCATGAGACGGGACTTCTGGGGGCTGAGCTCGGCCTCTTTCAAACTGTAGGGCTTAGGGTTTAGGGTTTAGGGTTTAGGCCTTAGGGTTTAGGGTTTAGGGTTTAGGGATACGGGTTACCCCCAAGGAAGAGCCCTCCTAAGCGCCTTCGACGCAAGCGCCGCCTCGGAGGCTGTTTTCGCCCGCCGAGACGTGGCGACCTCCCTCGGCCTGGAGATCGCGCGGGACCTGGAGTTTACGGAAGGGGCTTTCAGAGGGTTTGGGGTTTGGGGTTTAGGTTTAGGGTTTAGTGTTTTTGAGATCCCAAGCTTTTCATGTTTGGTGCCGGTTGAGTCACGGAGTTCTGGAGAGAGAAGCCTGCACTACAGCAAGCTAGAAGCTTGGCGCCGAGTCTCCTCTGTGCCGATTTGTTGGTGGGTGTTGGCTGTAGAAGATCAATCCAAAGTGCATCTGACATGAGCAGGCACCAGCGATAGAGAGTTCCTGTTCACCCTGATATGTCACACCCTCCTTCAAATACAAAGAAGGAAGTTGCCTGCTGGTGCCAGCCTGCATTTCATGTAGATGACGCTCTTCTGGACATCGCATGCCCCCCCAGCCCCGTCACTCATCAAAGGGTGCCGCAAAGACTCTGGCTCTTGAAGCGTTGGGGTAGAAGCTGAGCGGTAATACAGGTAGCCATAGGGTAAGGATCCAAGCAGTGCGGCCCAAAAGTAGCAACATCCACCCTAAATAAGGTTATAACGACACCCATGACCCTTCAAGTAAGAAAACCCCAATCCCTAAACCCTAGACCCTAAACCCTAAATCCTAAACCCTCAACCCTAAACCCTATAAACCCTATAAACCCTATAAACCCTAAACCCTAGACCCTAGACCCTAAACCCTAAACCCTAAACCCTAAACCCTAAACCCTAAACCCTAAACCCTAAACCCTAAACCCTAAACCCTAAACCCAGCTTCTGAGTCGAGGCCGACGACGTGGCGGAAGCATGGAGGGAGAGGCCTCCGGACGCCTTGCAAGCGTGAAGCTAAAGGGGGTTTCCGAAAACAAGGGGCCTCTAATATAGACCCCCAAAAGGTAGGGTTTAGGGTTTAGGGTTTAGTGTTTAGTGTTTGGGGGGATTCCCTGTTGATAAGGACCCCAGGAAGGTACCCCCACAGCGGATTGTTCTTGAGGGTTTCATCAGGTCTTGCCCAAACAATCCTTGACCAGAGCAGACGAGCGGAGACCGCAGGCACAGCAACGGCGAGTGCTGGCTGAACGGCCACATCTTCGATACGCAGCCTGGCATCTATTCGCATCAACCCTAAACCCTAAACCCTAAACCCTGAACCCTAAAACATGCCCAGCAGTGCCCTTATTCCCTTTTGGGGGGATTAGGTTCCCTTATGAGCCCTTTAAGAGGGGTGGGCATGGGATGGTCTGTGAAGTGTGTGTTCAAGATGCTACGGGTCTGTGATTGGCCTCTTATGCAGGGGCCAAGTGCATCTGCAAACAAGTCCATGAGATGAGTAGGTACGATGCGCACTGCACACCAGATTGCCACATCAATGTTGCAGAACCCACGAAGAGGAAGCATCTAAATTCTGTGTGGAAGGGAGTGGTTCGGTTGGGGGACGGTTGGGTTTGTTGAGCGGTGCCTGTCGGTTGGGTTCCTAGGGTTCGGTTCGGTTCTGGAACCTTCCTGCAGGTGTTTCAAGTGTTTTAGTGGTCAGGCGTTCGTGGGCACTTTGTCCTGGGTTCTGCAATATCACTTTTCGTTGGCATCTGTCAGAATGTTCCAAGCATGTTGAAACGAGTCTCGAATGAGCTTCCATTCATGTCGAATCCCAGTTCAAGTAAGTTCGCAAAAAGGTTCCAATCGAATTTGTGATAATCTGTTGAAATCGTTAAGCTTTAGATGCATGCCAACAGAACAACGAAATAGCATTGTAATCACATCCCAGTTGTACCCAATGTAGTTTCATAGCAAAACAGTATAGTTCTTTTCGGAAACTCTTTCCTGTGGGATCTGCATGGTTCTTGAACAGTCTTCTCGGGACCTTGACAACGCGACCAACGTCGCCCTCTTTCTTTTGCAGTTTCTTCTGCTCATCTCTCGATTAGCTGCCTGCCCGCTGTACGCTAGCGTGGTTAGTTGCTGCTGCTGCTGCTGCTGCTGCTGCACAAAAAACTCACTGTCTGATTTCGTCTGGCTTGTTGTCCACTATTTTGTGTTGTGATTTCATGGAGAGGTAGGGCTTCGATCGCTCGCGCGTTGAGTGTTCTGAAGCCTTCACTGTCAAATTTTACTTCTCCCTTCCCAAACACCCTGTTGCTGCTTGTGACAGCTGGCTGGCTCCGGGTTACCGCATGTTACCGTGCTCACAGGGGTTTCGGGGTCAGGGTCTGTAGCTTACTGCTCCTAAATAGGATCCCATCAACCCCCAAAAGGGAAAATGTACAACTATATGTATATATATATATATATTTTTTTATACATAAGTACTACTGATAAGATAAGAAGAAGAATACTAAGAATGACGATGCTTGTGGGTTCTGGGTTGCAAGACATGCAGGCTCATGGTGGACCCCCGGCCGATGCTGGTGCCTGGGACTGCGGTTTAAGGTGTAACATGGGGTAGAAGGGTCATAGGCATGGCAGCAGCCATAGCAGCAGCAGTGGCACTTAACTCAAGGGTAGGAATAGCTCGCAGTGGTCGAAGATGTGCAAAAGATCAGGTGTCTGCCTCCTTTGGCAATCAAAAAAGCCCGGCCCGAGACCCTGTAGACTGCCTCTGGGGGGAGCTTGTGGCTTGGTGTTATAGGGGTTTAGGGTTTAGGGTTTAGTGGTTTAGGGTTTAGGGCTTAGGGGTTTAGGGCTTAGGGGTTTAGGGGTTTAGGGTTTAGGGTTTAGGGCTTAGAGGGTTTAAGGCTGGGGGTCTTGTTGGCCATGCATCGGGTCTTGGGGGGGGGGGGGGAAGTGGGGTTCAGGGTTCAGGGTTTTCAGAAGTTTCAGGGTTTGCAGGGTTTCCAGGGCTTTCAGGGGCTTTAGGGTTGAGATGGTATGGCAGGGTAGATGTCAGGGTTCGGCGTCGGCGGGGTAGTCTCCGCGCGGCAGCGAAGTTTAAATGGCTGACGGAATTAGGACACGCTTGTCTCTACATTTACAGGGATTAGACTCGTACCCCCAAGGTTGTACCCCCAAAGGTTTTCCTTAATCAAAGCCTTCCACCACTACTTGGAGGTTTATGCGTAGTTATAATAAGCAAGGTTAGAGGTACCCTAAGAAAGGTTATAGCCAGTCATAATCACCCTATTTATAACCGCACTAAAAACTTCCCATGAGCCTTCACGTAGCCCTAAACCCTAAACCTTAAACCCTAAACCCCAAACCCTAAACCCTAAACCCTAAACCCTAAACCCTAAACCCTAAAAGGAGTGGGGGGGGGGCTTTCTGGGCAGATCAGAGCTGAATCAGATCTGAGGATGACCGCGTGCCACCCTATGAGCCCCTTAGCTCCCAGCTGGTGATGTCTTGTTTTTGGCTTCAGAGTCTAGGGGTTTAGGGTTTAGGGTTTAGGGTTTAGGGTTTAGGGGTTTAGGGCCGTTTAGGGGTTTAGGGTTTAGGGTTTGCAATGGAGGGTTTAGGGTTTAGGGTTTGCGGTTCGGGTTGAGGATTCCTTGGGTTGTCTGCAAGCTACGGCTTTCGTGCCCTAAGGGGGTTTGAGCCGTCGAGCCGTCGATGCCCTGGGGAGTACACCACAGCCGTGGGTTCTGAGGGTTTGAGGGTTTTAGAGTTTTAGGGGTTTAGGGTTTGGGGTTTGGGGTTTAGGCTCGCGGCTTACAAAGGGTTTAGGCAGACCTCCGTCTTCCCCCGCCGACTGAGGAAGAAGCTCATGCTCAGAGCACACCTGGCAGCCGCGCAGCGCCCAGAAGACATCACTCTTGCGGAAGAGAGCACAAAAGTCGCCCATGTGACATTTTTTGTTGTTATCATTCTTATTACTGTTGTTTGTATACTTTGATACTATTAAAGTTTGTTACTGTTATTGTACTACGACGACTACTACTACTACTACTACTACTACTACTACTACTACTACTACTACTACTACTACTACTACTACTACAACAGATAGATAGATAGATATACATACATTTTCCTCCTTTTAGGTTAAGGGGATCCTCTTTAGGAATATGTTTCAGCACCCTCTCACCCGCAGTCCGATCTGGGTGACTATTGGCACCGCCTTGTCTGGATTCACTTTTTTCAACATTTTTTCCTCTAACACCGACGGCAATCCTTACAAGCCCCTGTGGTCCGCACCTTACCTGCGCCAGGCCTACCGTCGCTCACTGAGCATTTGGAGACATGCCAAACCCCAACACCTTCAAGCCCAACACTCGCCCCCTCCTGCCGCCCTCGTCCCTCCGACCCGCGCACAACAGCAAGACACATCAGAAGTCCATGGAGAACTCATCTCAGACTAGCCTCAGGGGGAGCCTTAAATCGACGCTGGCCCCTCGAAAGCTCGCAGTTCTCAAGCTCCTGAATCCTCAGCCCTCCCTAAACCAGACCGTACACCTCTGGTGTAAGTAGTAGAAAGTTGTACAGCTGAAAGCCACATGCGCGCGCCCTGGGCGCTGCTCCTCACCGCGGCGCCGCTAGTGGCAGAGGAGCCTGGAAATCCCCTTTTTTTCTGGACATTGCTTAGGGTTGAGGGCTTAGGGCTTAGGGCTTAGGGTTTAGGGTTTAGGGTTTAGGGTTTTGGGTGTGCAGGACTAGGACCCAGAGTCGGCCCTGATCCCCTTTTCTCAGAGTTCAGGTTCCCTCACAAGCCCCTTTGAACCCAAAAAAGGGGCACCCTTCCTAAACCCTAAACCCTAAACCCTAAACCCTAAACCCTAAACCCTAAACCCTAAAACCTTCTCTATTCCTGGTCTACCCTTGGGTCTAGTGGAGTGTAGTACTCGGGCTCATATGCCCTGCTGACCTTAGTGAATGTTAGAAACCAGGGGCTCACTCAAAGTCGAGCCACGCCGAAAGCTTTTAGGGTTTTTAAGGGGTTTAGAGTTTAAGCGATTTAAGGTTTTAAGGGTTGAAGGGTTTAAGTGTCTAAGAGTTTAAGGGTTCAGAGGTTGATGTGTTTAAGGTTTAAGTTCAAGGGTTTAGGGCTGTTTAGGGGTGTAAGGGTTTTGGGGTTAAGGGGCGTTTAGGGGTTTAAGGGCTTAGGGGTGTTTAGGGGTCTAAGTGTGTAAGGGTTTAGCTTGGGATGTTCCCCCTTATATGAATCGAAAGCCTATTCTTCTTACTCTTCTTCTTAGTTCGTTGTTATTTTCCATAGTTCTTGTTCTTCTCCTTCTGATTACTGTCATCCTATTTTGTTAACTCATCTGATTGTTCTGGTTGTACTTCTCCTTCTTTTGTTTCATTTTTTTACGACTATTTTTTGTTCTTATGATTCTTCTGCTATTCTGACTGTTAGCCGTTTGTTGCTCACTCATATCGTTGCTTTTCCCGTCGTTCTTCTGAAGCTTCAGGACCGGGATGGCTGGAGCATCGAAGCCTGTCCGCCCATGCCGACATCGCTCGACGCTTGGAGCTTTGAGAGTCTGAGCCTCCCAAGATTGGAAGAGTTTAGGGTTTAGGGTTAGGGTTTGGGGTTTAGGGTTTAGGGTTTAGGGTTTCGGGTGGGTTTAGGGTTTAGGGTTTAGGGTTTCGGAACCCCCTGAATGCAGCAGCTCAGCACTCAGCACCTTTCAGCTTCAAGCTGAACCTTCTAGGTGGGGGGGGCATTTCGAGAGATCATCAGGAGCCCCAAAAGCCCTGAACCCTTGAACCCTAAATCGAACAGGGTACCTTGGGATGTTCCACCTTTTGACTTCCGTTATGGGATTCTACTAGGGGGGTTCGATAATTCCTATTGAGGACTGTTAGTCTAAGGGGGAACATCCCAGAGAGAACCCTACGAGCTTCAAACAAGAGAGGGCGCAGAGAGAGCCCTCCCCTGTGAAATCGCCCAAGGAGACGGCGCTGGAGACGCTGACGTGCATCCACAGCAACCCTTCCGAACACGGGAGACAAGGGTGTAAGTTCCCTCAAAATGCGAGTCCCGGATATCGGAACCCTCCCAAAGAGGTACCACTGATTTCGGTTCCGGCACCGCTCGGCTGGTAGGGCTGGTAGGCTTCGTTTCGGGCTGAGCGTCAGTCTGTAGGGTGTAGATTCTCCTCATCGCCCACGCGTCGTCTGGCATGCCCCCTCCACAGCAGATCCCAGCATTCTTGAGCAGACTTAGCTGGAGCTGCACGGTAACGCGCAGGGATCCCGAAAACAGGGCCAACATGCGTGGGCAAGAGCCTCGGCAAGTGAAGGTTCAGCGGAGTTCTACAATCAAAAACCCCCCTTGCGGAGTGCCCTCGGTTTGGGGTTTAGGGGTGCAAGGATTTCATGGTACCTTCGGCGGTAGCCTCAACCCGAAATCACCAAGCGAAGGACTACCTGACACTGTATGCTGGCCCGAGAAAGCCCACAAGCATGCATGCACTAATCCATGAACCACCAGACACAGATTGTGCATGCGAAGACTCGCGAGGCATGCAGCGGGCAGCGCTAAACTACTTCATCCGCCAGTGGCCAGTCTTGATTTCGCCATCACTGCACCCCCAAACCCTGATCCAGGCTTTAAGGCTGCTTAGGGTTCGAGAGTGGGAGTTAGAAACCCTAAGCCCTCAACCCTAAACCCTAAACCCTAAACCCTAAACCCTAAACCCTAGACCCTAGACCCTAGACCTTAAACCCTAAACCCTAAACCCTAACTTACCCATGGCATGTTTCATGGATAGCCCCAACGAAGACGTAAGTTTATACCACTGCGTCCACTCAGACGGGCCCACTGCAGACTGACCGCCCTGGTTCTTGGAGCTTCATGACCTAATGGGGTTTTGGTTATCATTAAGGTACATTTATATAGGGACGATAAAAGAATACGACTAGTATTAGTTTCCGACCCTATAGTCGCCACATAGCAACTGCACGGCAAAAGTCTGAAGCGCCTTCGGGTGCCTCTGCACACCGAGCTTCGAACCCATTTGTGGTGTTCCCAGCAATGTGTCCATCTTTTCAGCCCCCTCCCTGGGATTTCTTCGGAGATTCCCCCTAGTCCCCAGGCTTACGACACACCTCCGATGTCCACGAAGGTGGTACCAGCAGATCGAGAGCCTTGCCCTGCTCGCCGGCCGCTGCGCCGCGACTGAGCGCGTGAAGGCGGTGCTGCGGATCCTGGCGGCCCGGCTCGCCATCACCCCCCGGTCTACTATAGGGGTCGGAATAATTGCTTATAGTATTCCCTTAGGATCCGAATTATGAGTATACGATAATAACCCCAAAACCCTGTTCTAATTCTTCAGGCCCCTCTACTATGAGCGGGGTGAGGCTGTTGATGTCTTGAAGTTGCCACGTTTGAGAGTTAATGCCTGAGGCGTGTCTGGGCCATGAGACACATATTGTAATTAGTGGATGTGTTCCCGCTCGTTTCCTGTTCGGGCGGTCTCTCCACTTTTTTCCTAGTGGCTGTATAGTGACCAGGCTTGGCTTGTCGAAATAGCTCTGCTTGCCAAAGCTTCTGTGTGTGACGTGCTCGATCTCACGTGGAAACTCAGGTCAGGGTTTTGCGGTTTAGTGTTTCGGGAATCTTAAAGGCCCCTCCCATTTGATGAATTGATCGTGGCAATTGTGTAAAGGCAGAAGGATTTGGGGTAACCGCCCACTCCCCTTAAACAGCTCCCCGAGGAAAATGCTTCAGGACCCGGCCCAAAACCTCAAATCCTAAACCCTAAACCCTAACCCGAAAAGCCCATTTTGGCTCAAGGCTCAGTGTCGGGGAACCCTAATTTGTGGTAACCTCCCCCACCCCCCCCCCCCCCCCAAAAAAAAAAAGAAAAAAGAAAAAAGAAAAACACAAATATATATATATATATATATACATATATATACATATATATACATTTTTATATATACATATATATATATATGTATATATTTATACATATATATATAGAGAGCAGCTTTCAGGACCTGGTGGACCGGGTTCTGTGCATGGTGAAGATGGATCCCTGCTTCGAGCCTCGGGACAGCCCGAGGCTCAGCGAGGTCCCATTTTCATGGGCTCCTCTCCGTCTCTGGGATGGGACTCCCCCCCTGTTTTGGGGGAAGTTTAGGGTTTAGGGTTTAGGGTTTCGGGTTTAGGGTTTATAGGGTTTAGGGTTTAGGGTTGAAGGGACAGCTGATCCAAGGGAGCCGTCCAGATGTAAGCATGCGCGGCTCGAGTCTTCTGCTGTTCCTTTGCGTCCTTGCGTGCAGGGCCATGAGTTTTGTGTCTCAGGACATCAGCCCAAAAGCCAAAAGCACGCTTGCACACCCTGAAATTCAATGCCCCACCCAGAGCATCGCAAGGAAGCAAGACACCAGGGTTTAGGGGTTGGGGTGGAGGGGAGGGCTAGGGCGTCTCAAAGCTCAGAGTCATCCTTGTGTATTGTCCACAGCTGGCAGCGTGCTCAATGCTCTCACCCGAATCCCTCCAACGCCAATGCAGCCCTTATGTTCTTCGAGCATGTTCGCATCACCCAACAAGACCCCCCCCCCCAAACCCTGGTCTCAGCAACTCAGCCCAGTGCCAAGGGTACAACAGCGCGTTGCAGCACACCTGCGCAAAGCTCGCAGAGACTGGACTGATCACGTGCAACGAGATGCAGGACAGATGCCTTCCCCCGCCCCGATCGTGTTGTGGATTTTGGAGCTTGACAGTACAGCAACACCCACCAAGGTACATCGGCTCTGCAGACAGGAGCTTGCGGTGTGGCGCAATCCATTGACTTGCGCCAGGTAAAGGTATCCATGAGCCCTTAAACCCAACCCTGAACCCTGAACCCTGAACCCTGAGCCCTGAGCCCTGAACCCCAAACCCCAAACCCGAAACCTCAAACCCCAAACCTCATCCCTGAACCCTGCACCCCAAGTGCAACCGCCCAAGAGATTGGCAGAAGGACCTCCGGGTGGTGCCGAGGGACTTCTTTGCAACCTTGGAAGGAGCCTTAGAACACTGGGTCCCTTCGTACTTTTTTTTTGGGCGGGGGGGAGGGGCGGGGGGTGGCAGGAGGGGGTGATGAAGCCTGTGCAAGGCGTAGGGTTTCGGATCAGCCCCCCCCTTCCCCCAGCGCCATGTAGCTGGAGGTGCTTCAGGATGGCAACCAAAGGGAAGCCTGAGCACGAGCCGTTTGTTGAATGAACATTAACTTTCGAAAATGGAGCCAGGCTACTGTGCCCTACATTTGGGCCCTTCAGACTTCAGACTCTTCAGGGTTAGGAAGTTGTGAGACGCGCAAGGAATCTGCCATCTCCGGCTGCCCGATCAAGGACTGCTCTAAGAGAGAGCTTCTGGTCTGAGACTAGGGACGACCTCTGGAGGAAGATGTGGTTGCATCTTAGATGCAGGATTCAACCCTTTAAGGTTGAGGGTCCTGAATTCGTCAGATCAGCACTCCGTTCATCTGCTTGTGCCGGATGTCCAGACTATACTTTCATGGATCTGATAGTCACCGCTACGCGGAGCTGCACTGCGTTCTTTCCGGCTACGCACAAGGCTCGACTATGTAGGCGACCCGAAGCCGAAGCGACAACCCCAATGACCTAAAGAAGTCCAAGCCAGCACTCAAATCCAGGACGACCCGTTTTGGGCGGCCTTGCAGCAGCCTCGAGGCGATAGTGTGGTGCCAGGAAGTTTCGGCTTTGTTTCGGTGGAATTTTTTTGGGGGGTTTTGGGATGTCTTGAGTTGTGGTGATAAGTGGCTGAACTTTTTAGGGCGCATTTGGTCCCAGAAATTCTGTCAGCACAGCCTTGTTTCAGACACGACCAAGTCTCAAGATGCCTAAGTTTCTGAAACTCTTGGATGCATGCAGTGACCAGAGTTGAGCAGTAGCCCGCCTGGCAGCTGCACACTTGAATTGTGTATCAGCGGCCCAGAACCGTGCCTCCCCACAAAACGACAGGGGTGGCGTGGACTTTGGGAGCCCATCACGCCCACAAATCGTGTGATGATGACGCCGCGCTGCACGTCGGTGTGTTTCATGAGCTTTCCTCAGGGGGGAGGGAACCCTAAACCCTAAACCCTAAACCCTAAACCCTAAACCCTAAACCCTAAACCCTAAACCCTAAACCCTAAACCCTAAACCCTAAACCCTAAACCCTAAACCCTAAACCCTAAACCCTAAACCCCAAACCCCAAACCCCAAACCCTAACCCATAAACCCTAACCCTAAACCGGGGGACCTCTTGGTGGCTCTTAGGGGGGGTGCCGTTGAGTACGTCGTTCCGCCAGGGCCCAGGCGTAGGAAGACTCCAGCTCGGAGCAGTGCTGGGAGGTCGCATCATGCTTCCCCATGGGGTTTAGGGTTTAGGGTTTAGGGTTTAGGGTTTAAGGTCTAGGGTGTAGGGCCGAGCAGTGCTACTTGCCCACCCAACATCCACGTTCCTCGGGCCAAGACCCAAACTACCCCAAAATCCCAAATGGCCCTACAATCCTAAACCCTATGAACCCTTGTAAAACCCCATAACGCCTAAATAGCCCCCAAAACCCTACAAATAACCCTAAAACTCTAACCAGCCCTGGCAAACCCTATAACGCCTAAATAGCCCCCAAAACCCTACAAACCCCACAAGAATTAAGGAGGGCCCAGATCTCGCGTCGAACCTGATCTGCGGCGGCTGGGCCGGCATTCTGCTCGAAGGCCCCCCGCCCGCTTATGCTTCTGCGGCTTGCGGCTAGGTTGGTTTAGGTTTTAGGGTTTTAGGGTTTCAGGGTTTTAGGGTTTTAGGGTTTTAGGGTTTTTGGGTTTTTGGGTTTTTGGGTTTTTGGGTTTTTGGGTTTTGAGTTTCAGAGTTTTAGGGCTTCAAAAGACCGTTGGGATAGCCAAAAATTTGCCCTTATGGGGTTGAAGTGGATCCTGTCTGGGAATATGTTGCAGAGTTTTTACAAGGGCCAAGTCTAAAGCCCGGGGGACTGGACGGTTGGCTTCGCTGAAGGGTTTTTATGTTGCATGTCCTGCTGGGTCGTGGACTTCCGTTGGTTTAGGGTTTAGGGTTTAGGGTTTAGGGCGACCCGAAACCCTGCGTCGTTTTTGTGGCTTCATCTTCGTGTTGCAAGAAGACTTCGCTTGCCTTGTAGAGGCAGAGGCACTTACGCCTGGGGGATGCATGAAAAAGATTCAGACGGCCTGCAACGGTATTGCAAAATCATGGTTTGTCTATGACTATGCGGTTATCTGATTCTCTGATTGCATGATTAAGCTTTGTTTCTTCTCTCATTAGACTTTGCTATCATGCGAGCATTCTCCGAAATTATTCTTATTTGTTGTAGCATTCTTATGTTGTATGTATCTACTCTGTTATTCTACTTTTTTATCATGCGAGCATTCTGACCCTAAACCCTAAACCCTAACCCTAAACCCCAAACCCTAAGCCCTAAACCCTAAACCCTAAACCCTAAACCCTACACCCTACACCCTAAACCCTAAACCCTAACCCTAAACCCTAAACCCTAACCCTAAACCCTAAACCCTAAACCCTAAACCCTAAACCCTAAACCCTAAACCCTAAACCCTAAACCCTAAACCCTAAACCCTAAACCCAGTTTTTGCTGAGTTTTGCAACTCCGGCGAGGTCACGCAAGCCGGAACGCCAAACTCCGCGACCACTTCCGAGACCGCCGCGACGTCGACGCTGGGCTCGGCAAGTCTGCTTTTCTTCAAAAAGGGGGGGGTTTAGGGTTTAGGGTTTAGGGTTTAGGGTTTAGGGTTTAGGGTTTAGGGTTTAGGGTTTAGGGTTTAGGGTTTAGGGTTTAGGGTTTAGGGTTTGGTGGTTGCTTTGCGCAGGTGGAAGGTGAAGTTTGAAAGTGGGAGGTGGGTTTTTGCACTTTAGAGTGCTGGGGTCTGGAGTCTTCACATTCGCAGCACCCATAACGTGCTCCCGAAGCCTGAAACCTAGACGCTTCCGATGAAGGGCCTGGCCACCCACTCCATCCCAACAAGAAGCACACTCGCCTTCCGGTGAAGGTCCTGCTGTCACAGCTGGCGGAGCCACACTCATTAGGCGCCATGCTTCAGGACTTCCTTTGCGGGGGGGTCGAAGCTTCGTCCTGGTGGGGGGAATCTCAAGGAGTCCAGGTCCCTTTTTGAACTACAGGGCTTTTGGGGTTTATGGGGCTTGAGGTTTCGGATTTAGGGTTTGGGGTTTAGGCCCCGGCATGGTTTTTGATGTTTCACCTTGTTTGGTTTCACCGATTGCTGTGCTCACCTCACAGCCACGCGTTTCTCTTCCCCTCCAGCTGCTTATGTGCACTGTGCAGCCCCACAGAGGCCTGCCTTACGGCGACGAAGCAGAGATGGGCCGGCGCATGACCCCGGGTGCTCATTTTTTGCAGCATGTGACGTCACAGACTGCCTCAAAGGAGACCTTATGACTTCGTTTCTCCTGCTCCTGACCTCACAGAGAGAAGCAGGGCAGCTCTGTGCAAGTACAAGTGATCGGGATGTGCTCCGGACGAAGCGGTGTTGGCACACGACTGGCAACTGGTTGGAGCCGGACACGGCATGTCGTTCACGGCAGCGCTGGACTCGGCGCAGCACCACTGGCAGCGCGTGGAGCTGTATTGACTTCAGTGACTTCAGTGTGAGCTGCAGTCATTCACACCCCATGCAAGTGATTGCCGCCTTTCGTGCTTTCGCAGAGGGAGCGGGATTGTTGGTGTTGTTTCGGTCAAGGATCTCCTGCTTACGTGCAAGACATCTCCTCAAGTGTGTGATTGTTGGCTCGGTCTCACAGGATGGAGATTGCAATCTGGCCGCCCAAGAAAAAGGGTTCGGGGGTAGTCTTAGAAAACCTTGCACAGCTGCGACGCTTCCGCGAAACTCCTCTGAGATGCTCAGAGTCACGAGGATGCCACGTGGAACAACCCGGTCTTGCGCGGCCAGGAGGTGCTGTGCAGAGTTTGACTCGGGGGCTTCCATGAACACCCCCCCCCTCCGGCAGAGCTGCTAGAATCTCTAGAGCCTTAAACCCTGAAACCTTAAAACCCTAAAGCCCAAGAACCCTAAAACCCTGAAACCCTGAAACCCTCAAACCTTCAAACCCCAAACCTCAGAGGTGGACCTGTTGCAGATCACCCTGTCCATCAACGACTGCGGGATGCTCACAGCCCTGCTCTCAAGCGCGGGGGCTCAGGAGATCTCTTCAGGACGGAGAAAGAAAGGGTTGCAGGGGGGTTTAGGGTTCAGGGTTCAGGGTTTAGGGTTTAGGGTTTAGGGTTTAGGGTTTAGGGTGAGAGGAGTTTGTCAGATTCTCGTTTGCTTCTTGAGATGGTTGGGGGAGGTTTTTTCGGAAGGCTCAGCCCCCCTTTGTGATGATTCATGCCCGAGTTGGAATCCACGAGCCACATTATCCCCTTTTCATTCTTCATGAATAAACAAAGGAGAAGCAGGACAGCCAAAGAGGTCACCCTTCTTTCCAAGCTTTCCAGCACGTGCCCGGCTACTGGGGCAAGGCCTCGATGTGCGCCCAAAAAAACCCTCGAGAAACAAAGCAAGGTGGAGCGCGACCCCGTTTTCTGCGAGCCATTTTTTGGCACCCGATCCCTCCGCCGATCGTGTACCAACCAGGTCGGGCAGTATTGCTAGAGGGATAAGAGGAAAGTAACTTTGCGGATGATTGGCCTTTCTGTGGGGGTTTGGCTTCAACTCTACGTTCCTAGGTTGTCTCGTCGCGGCTTCTTTGAGTGCCTTAAGAGTGAAGACACTGAAGTGCGCGGATTTCTGGCGATGTGCGTGTGTGATTCATGCAGATGGTCGGTGCAGGCTCCCAGCGCACGCTTGGCGACTGGTACGAGGATTGTGGAGTGAAAGTAGGAGCGCAGCTCTGAATTTCCCGAGGCAAGCAGTGAGGCAATTGGAGAATGCCACATTTTTGCAACTGCTCCCTGGGCGCTGAAAAATCTCCGCAGACTGTCTAACGGAGCCCTGCATGTGTCAACGGCTTGTCTGCTTTTGCCTTTTGGAGATTCTCAGAAAAAACCATAAAGAAGCCTGGCAGCCCACTTGAACTACCGGGATTCTGGGGATCAGGATTTTTGGAGCGTTAAGCACCTAAGCCCTAAACCCTAAACCCTAAACCCTAGACCCTCAACCCTCAACATCCCTCAACCCTCAACATCCCTCAAACCCTCAACCCGAAACAAACCTCTTCAACTCTGGGAAGCCGCAACATCGCAGGACGTCTTCGAGCTGACAGGAGCCCATATGAGACGGGTCTGCGGCTGAAGTTATAGTGGTCGGACTAATTACTAACAGTACTGCTTGATCTTCTCCTATATTATCCTGCATTATTTGCCGGGGGCTTGGAACAAAAAGGTGGAATGCCTCAACTCGTCATCTACACCCTCCGATAGCGTCAGCCGCAGGAGAGACGTGTTCTTTGCAGGCCGTCGTCGACGCGGTGCGGCTCGGCTTCCTCTTTTTTGAGTCTAGGCTCGGAACTGGCCGCGGTTTTTTTTCTCAAGCAGTCGGTCCTCATTGCCAAGACCCCAAAGCCGCACATACTGTAGTTAGATCCCTATTGAAGGCATTCGAAATTCGAAGCTGGGCTGCCCCATCAAAGCGTCTTGCCGTAGTACCCTAAGCATGAACGACCGCTCTTGGTCCAGCTCGAGCCCTCCACTTCAATCGACGGCCACAAAGACCTTTCAAAACAACCGGAGCCCAGTTGTCCCTTTTGACACAAATCCCACTGAAGGGCATCCCCAAGCCCCGAGAATTGACAGGGGCCTTCAAAAGACTCAGGAGCCCTCCTAAAATACAATTCCCGATGTCACTGCGTACCCTCTTAGACCTCGATTCTCGATAGCCTGCACGTGTAGAAGCAAAGTTTCCCAAACCGTACAAAGGCATGATCACTATGGCTTGTGGGCCCTCGATTTACGTGACCTGGCTGCTTCTGGTGTTCAGGGTTGAACTCTCGTGGTTACCCCAAGGAGTAGCCGCAGCATTCTGCGCCCAGCTACCTAGTCCCAGACGTCCAGTTCCTTCGGAACACGTGGGCTGATGTTCTCTCGGAACATTGAGAGCCAGTGCCTTAATACGGAAGACCAGAAGGCAGAAACTATTGAGACATAGGATGTATGTTTCAAGGGAAGACCTTATAACTCAGTACGGTCCTGAAGGGAGTTTGGGATCCTGACTCCAAAAACCGGTTCTACTGAAGGCCGAAGGTGAGTATACTTGAAGGTTCATGGGTAGCTATAAGTGGGGTTATAAGTAGGGTAGCTCGTTTACAACTGGCTAGAACCGCATTTAGGGTACTTCAAACCCTACTACTAACTACCCATGATTTTTCAAGGAGGGTCCTGACCCTGAACCCTAAAACCCTGAACCCGAAACCCTAAACCCTAAACCCTAAACCCTAAACCCTAAACCCTAAACCCTAGACCCTAAACCCTAAACCCTAAACTCAGGGCCTAGGCCGCCCCCCTACGTTGGGGGGGGGCGCTTAAGCCCTTTGACCTCGATGGCACAAGCCGACCCATCCCCCTCGCCCGCCTCCCACAGCATGGGGGTCGGTAGCGCCCTGGCCGCCCTGCCCCCCCGTAACCCCCTGACCCTGGCCCTGCCCGCTGCCCCCCTCCCTGGCTTCTGTGGCCTCGCCAAGCCTGCCCCACCCTGGTCCCTGACTGGGTGCCTGGCCGAGCCCGCCCCTCTGAAACTTGCTGCAACCCTCCCTGAAACTGCCTAAGTTTTTAGAAGTGGGCTGTTGTCTGAGTTTAGGCCTAAACCCTAAAAGGAATAGGTTTGGGTGGCTTTGCCACCTTGGACGGCGTGGGGTGGGAGAAAAGTGTTAGATGGCCCTCCACAATCGGGCCAATGCTGCTTTTCGCACCTCACGAAGCTTTCGAGCTTGTTCCGAAACCTAACCTTCACAGCATCTACGCCCTATCACAGCAAGCCCTAAACCCTAAACCCTAAACCCTAAACCCTAAACCCTAAACCCTAAACCCTAAACCCTAAAACCCTAAAACCCTAAAACCCTAAACCCTAAACCCTGACCCAACATTCCGGCCCCGATTCCCTAGCAGTCGCCCGTCGCGGCTGAGGTGACTGCGACAAGGCATGGGATGTGCTTGCAGTCGTTGCCTTTTTGGGTAAGAGTTTAGGGTTTCGGGTTTAGGTTTAGGGTTTAGGGTTTAGGGTTTAGGGTTTAGGGTTTAGGGTTTAGGGTTTAGGGTTTAGGGTTTATATAGGGTTTAGGGTTTAGGGTTTAGGGTTTAGGGTTTAGCTCGCCTCGTATGAGCATGTAGCGCCTGGTGGCTTTTGGGAAGGCCAACTTTGTGCGCCGCGATGTGGCCGCCGAGTTGGGCTTGGAACTGGTTGAGGCCTACGGTTTAGGGGGTTTAGGGTTTAGGGTTTAGGGTTGGGTTTAGGGTTTAGGGTTTAGGGTTTAGGGTTTAGGGTTTAGGGTTTAGGGTTTAGGGTTTAGGGTTTAGGGTTTAGGGTTTAGGGTTAGGGTTTAGGGTTTAGGGTTTAGGGTTTAGGGTTTAGGGTTTAGGGTTTAGGGTTTAGGGTGGGGAGAACTTGCCCACGTGCTCCGGGTAGGCGTGGGGATTGGGCCCTCAACAGTTCTCCACCACCACCCTCCAATGTGGGGGTTTACGACATTAGGCGTACCTTATTGGGTTCCCTATCATAAGGGGATCCTAGCATTTGGGGTCTTTTTTTGTTAGGGCTCCCTTCTTCTCGTAAATCTGGCTCCTAAATCTGGAAGGTGCGCTTTTGGATTTGCAGTTTGAGGCCCCCGCGCAACATGTCATCTCCTCGGGCAGCTGTCAAAGCCAGAAAGCTGGTAAAATGGGACTCCGAGACCTCTGTGTATCTGTGTGTCTCTGTATCACTCTCTCTCTCTCTCTCTGTGTCTCTCTGTCTCTGTGTTTTTTAAGTGTGCGTGCTTTTGTTTTCTATTGTGCGTGTGCTTTGTGTTTCTATTTTATTTGTTTTGTTTTTTTGTTTCGTGTGTGCGTCTTTCCCGGGCCGTCGTGTATGATCAAAAATCAAGGCCCCGGGTGCTCAGGAGCGTTGCCAGTGTAACTATATTGTGTTATTATCTCATGATATGCTTATTCCATTATGCATATATATATATATATATATGATATTCTTATTCCATTATATGTCTATATGTATATGTATATATATATATATGAGGCAGGAACCTTTATGTATTATGTGGCGTTCCTGTCTGGGGACTATCTAAACTATCTAAACCAGGGGGGTTTAGATAGTTTAGATAGTTTAGATAGTTGGGTGAGAGGCCTAAACTACCTAAACTACCAAAACTATCTAAACCAGTGGGGTTTAGATAGTTTAGATAGTTGGGGGAGAGGCCTCAACTACCTAAACTATCTAAACCAATGGGGTTTAGATAGTTTAGATAGTTTAGATAGTTGGGTGAGAGGCCTAAACTACCTAAACTATCTAAACTATCTAAACCAGTGGGGTTTAGATAGTTTAGATAGTTTAGATAGTTGGGGGAGAGGCCTAAACTACCTAAACTATCTAAACCAATGGGGTTTAGATAGTTTAGATAGTTTAGGTAGTTTAGGTAGTTTGGGGGGGAGGTTGGGTCCCGGGTGGAGCCCAAAACTACCTAAACTATCTAAACTATCTAAACCAAGGGTCCCCCCAATACTAAATTACGAGCCGGGCCTCCCCCCAATACTAAATTACGAGCCGGGCCTCCCCCCAATACTAAATTACGAGCCCGGGCCTCCTCCCAATACTTCTTTACGAGCGCGGGCTTCCCCCCAATACTAAATTACGAGCGCGGGCCTCCCCCCAATACTAAACTACAAGCCCGGGCCTCCCCCCAATACTAAATTACGTGCCCGGGCCTCCCCCCAATACTAAATTAGGAGCCCGGGCCTCCCCCCAATACTAAATTACGAGCCCGGGCCTTCCTCCAATACTAAATTACGAGCCCGGGGGTTTAGATAGTTTAGATTGTATAAATAGTTTAGATAATTTTGGGGGTAGGTTGGGTCACGGGTGGAGCCCAAAACTACCTAAACTTTCTAAACTATCTAAACTATCTAAATTATCTAAACTATCTAAACTATCTAAACCAGGGGTCCCCCCAATACTAAATTACGAGCCCGGGCCTCCCCCCAATACTAAATTACGAGCCCGGGCCTCCAAATTACGAGCCCGGGCCGTCGCCCAGTACTAAATTACGAGCCCGGGGTTTAGATACTTTAGATAGTTTAAATTATTTAGATAGTTTTGGGCGTAGGTTGGGTCCCGGGTGGAGCCCAAAACTACCTAAACTATCTAAACCAGGGGGGTTTAGATAGTTTAGATAGTTTAGATAGTTGGGGGAGAGGCCTAAACTACCTAAACTATCTAAACTATCTAAACCAGGGGGGTTTAGACAGTTTAGATAGTTTAGATAATTGGGAGAGGCCTCAACTACCTAAACTATCTAAACTATCTAAACCAGTGGGGTGTAGATAGTTTAGATAGTTTAGGTAGTTTAGATAGTTTTGGGGGGAGGTTGGGTCCCGGGTGGAGCCCAAAACTACCTAAACTACTTAAACTACCTAAACTATCTAAACTATCTAAACCGGGGGGGTTTAGATAGTTTAGATAGTTTAGATAGTTGGGGGAGAGGCCTAAACTACCTAAATTATCTCAGCAGCAACAGACCCCAACAGCGTGGGATATCATCAGCCGGCGTGTAGTCGTTTTTGCAAACGGATTCGAAAAGGAAACCTCGCAAGATTGAAGCAATGTCCAGGTGTTGGACAGGCACATCTTTACGGCAAGAAAGCGGTGGCAAAAGCAAGGGCTAAAAACTATAGGAACCAAAACTTGCTGCATGCGCACAATACAGATATCTTTTTGCGCGCAAAGATTCCGCCGGCCATACAACCTCGGCTGTCCGTCGAGGTCTTGTGACACAACTGCTACGTTTCCTGCGCGCTCGTGGATTTCATTCTGTTTGCACACATATCGTGTATATATTCATATCAAAATGCGGCTAAGCCACGCGCGCGCATTCAAATTGCCTGGCGTTGAAACGGGAGAGCCCGTATGTCGTCGAAAGATCACATTGATCTTCCAATACTCTCTTAAAAATTAAAGTCTTTCTGATAAAAGTGTACACTTTTAAAAGGGCTTTTAACATAAACGCTTATTGTATAAAACATAAACGCTTATTGTCTATAATATAAACGCTTATTCTTCTTATTGTGGGGCAAATGGAAGGAAGTAAATCTAAATGATGCTTCGTGACACAGGGATGCAGGGAGGGAGGAAGGGCCCGACACTGCCAATTACCTGTGCAACAAGTGCAGCATGAATGCTGTCTTTCCGTGCATGCAGGCTTTCCACGCGCATACTGGCTCAAGTTGTTTTAAAAGATTGTCACCGTAGTCATGGCATGGCTTCCGAGCAGAGTAAGAAGGCCAACCCAAAGAAGCAGCACACAGCAACTTTTCTCACAGGTGAGCAGATATCCTTTCACTCTTTCTGGGATGTTCTGATCCACCTTGCTCTTCTTCTGTGCTATGTCTCTTCGGCTTGTGTTCGGGATGTTTTGCTCGAAGCTGTGAAAACACCGGCTGTATTTCATTAAACATCCTCCATTAAGCACAACCTAAGCTTTGTACTTAAAACTTTACCTCAAGCAATCATCCCTCAATGAGCAAAACCTAGGCTCTTTGAAACTAACACATATTGAATAACTATAATCAGCCCTCCCCCCCGCCCCGCACCTCCCCCTGATAAGCTGATAAGCAAGCAGCTTAACTTGAACTCTGAACTAAACACTGTACCTTAGCTAACAGATGGTATGTCAGTTCTCATCCTCCGACAAGCAAACCAAACCAAACTCTGCGCTGATACGTGTACCTCAAGCAATCAGCCCCCAACAGGCAAAACCAAAACTTTGCACTACACTGTACCTTAGCTAACGCTTTGCAACTTCAGTAATCATCCAAGAAGCAAAATTTAAACTCTGTACCACCACTGTACCTTAGCTAGCGCATTGTATTTCCCCCCCCCCCCAAAAAAAAAAGCAAAGCCTGAACTCTGTACTAAACACTTTAATGAACACTCAATTACAGCTCCTTAGTTGTTGTTTACTAATCTGGTTCCACGGCCTAGGTTGGGCGCAATATTGAAACATTTTAAAAACTCAATATATAAATATTGGGCTGGATCCAAGATTCAAGATTTCACAGTTTTTTTGGAGGCCATCTTGGATCCAGAGCGCAGGCTGGGCCCAACCTTGGAATATTGAAAGGGTTTCAATACTTCAATATTGGGGGGAGTGTCCTGGCTGGATCCAAGATTGTTTTGCGAAAAATCTTTGGACGTCGTACCTTGGATCCAGCCCAATATTGAAAGGGCTTCAAGACTTCAATATTGGGGGTCGGGGCGGCAACAACCAGGGACGAAGAGTCCACATTCTCTTGGAAAGCGGCCTTGTCTGTTTCGATGTTTTAACATCGGCCATCACGATCCAACAAAAACGAGAAAGAAAACAGCGCAACAAACTCATTCTAACAAACAGGCTCCCGCAGCCTCCTCTGTTGTAAAAGTTAAGGCTTCGCGTTTATATGTTTATATATATATATATATATATGGTATCCCCCCCAAAGATCCACCCTTTTTTCCCTCTATTCCCTCTGTTGATGTGCTGTTGCCGTGTCGTTGATGTGCTACTTTACTTCTCTCTATCTTTTAATAGCCAAAAACATGATAATAAACGACACGTGGCACCATTACCTTTATTTACTTGACCGAAGCCCCGCGAATTTAAACCGCATTTACACCAAGCAAGAACCAAGATGCTCAGGACTCTTGATTCTTGGTTCTGGGTTCCTGGGGGTGGTCTGCATTTAACTTAAATTTTTAAATGCAGTTTTAAATGCAGCCCAGCCCCAGGAACCAAGATTCCAGAATCAAGAGTCCTGAGCATCTTGGTTCTTGGTTCCCGGGAATGGCCTGAGCATCTTGGTTCTTGGTTCGTGGTTCCTGGCGTCTGCCCGCATTCAACTTGAATTTTTACATGCAAGTTTACATGCAGGAAAACCCTAAGCCCACCATCTTAAACACTCCGTACGAAAATCTGGGAGTCACGGACCGTGAAAATCACACGAAACCGTTTAAATTTGCACCGTCAGGTTTTCGAGAGTCAGGATTCCAAGATGCCTCGACAAGAGTCCTGGAAGCCTGAAAGCTTAGATCTTGGATCTTGGATTCCGGCCGTGTAAATTTACACGCTTGCCGTATAAATAAAAACGGCCTGCTTTGGTAATCCGAAATTACCCTGGAAATCCCATGTGACCTCCGGGTTTAAGGTTTAGGCATTCCAAAT